CTAAATTCAGAACCCCTAACAGCAGGCTCACGATGCCCTTCCCAAAGGTACTTCCAGCCATGTTTCTCCAGCAACTGGTGTTTCATATTATTTTCCAGGTTTACTCAAAGGCAGAGAAGTGCTGTTTTCCAAACCTGGAAGGACAGACTAATGCTATTGAACAAGAGCATTCTTACTGTTTTGTAAGAATAAACAGACATAAACGGGTGATTATGGGCTTAATAGCACATACACATGCTCCTGGAAAATTGAGGAGAACCAACAACATTCCCTTTTCTTTGAATGGCCATTAGACAAATTCAATGTTTACTTTTGTGATAAGGCTACATGGACATTTTCCCCCATGCCTTCTAAACAAGATCAGTAGGATGACATATGTGCTTTTACAGAGAAGGAGATACTTACATTCTGGTCACCTTAACATGGAATATCTGGGAGGGAAGGAAAAAAGATTTGCAAAAGTGGCCAATTCCTCAAAATTCAGCATGGCTGCAAGTTTGTTTTCATTCACCAAAGTAAATTCCCTGCTCGGAGAAGAGAGCTCCAAGTCTTCCACGCTTAATTTTGAAGTCTTATGTCAGGTATGTGTCCATAAGGAGATGCCCACACCACAGGGCAGAGAGTGTGCCTGCTCTGTGAGGCAAGAGCTCAGTAGACTCACACGGGGATAACAGCAAAGTCCAAGTTGGAAGCACACTGTGTAGTTATGCCAGTATGCCCACAGCACCTGGGGGTATCACCTGAGGTTAGATCTTCCCTGCACTAAGTGCATACAAGAGATAATTCATGCTACTAAGAGAAGGCAATACAAATACGCAAAGTAGGGTAGCAGGGAAGTACTCCTGTAACTATTTTACAATCAACTGAAGCATTTTAATGAATTTGCTCAAAAATTGACAAGGAAAGCCTACAGCAGAGGGGCAGAAGCCAGCTCTCCTGCATTCTAATCCAGTGCACTGGATTAGAAGGATCACCTTCATACTGCTAAAAGTGGTTCTGTTGCTTGCTGAGGACAGAAGCCAGTGATGGCCACTGATTGAACCAAGTTCAAAGTAGCAAGAGAAAATAAAAAATTAGTTCATTAGATAAAAACAGAGAGAGGCAGCAGTCCTTAAATGCTGCCAGCGTTTCAACTCCACATATTTATAAAAAAATCTTTTTAGCTAGTGATCACCCAACAACCTCGAGAAAATTCCCACCACAGTTAGTAGAGGATCCCCATCTCACTTGGACAGGAAAACCACCAAACTTTGTGACTGGCAAGCCTAAGCAGCACAGCCCACTGAACAGCTCTCTAACCTCAAAGGGAGCCACTGCCTTGGACAGCTGATCGTGTCACCATACTGCTGTCTCCCTTGGATGGAGACACACTCTTTGGTCTGCACAGCACCTGCGAGGACCTCCCTGGACACCTGCTGCCAGGGCTGTGAGGCCAACAGCAGAGGGTCTTAACACTCCATGTAGGAATAGGAGGGCATATGTCCTGATGGGTACCATTAAAGAACAGGTTATGTCCCACCAACAGGAGACCCCAGCACAAATATCTGTCTAACAGTAGTACGCTAAAAACATGATACTGCTGTATTTCTGTGCTAGCAGCCTGAATGAAATCTGAGCATACCAGCTGATAATCTTAAAACCACACTGAGAAGCACAATCTCTGCACATGGCAAGTAAGCACATTTCTGTGGTTCTTATAAAAAGCCTCCAAATCACTGCAGCCCTAAGGAAACCTACTTATTCCTAGACACCAGTTTTGTGAACCCACCCATACTATTTTCCTTACTCTATGGTCTCAAACTGAATAATCTTTCAAAAGCTATTAATCAGCTTTCATTATGTCTAAATTGCTTTTTGCTTGCTTGCAATTAAGGACTAATATCCAAAGAGTTAGAAATTTATAAGATAATTAACCTTAATGAGTAACTGTTCTAAAATATGATCTGCTGCTGGGGATCAACAGAAGTCTTAGTTTTCCCCAATAAACTTTTTTTTTTTCCGTATATTTATACAAGCTCAAAAATGAAGATTTATTTAGCAGAGGTTGAACATTCACCAGATAATATTGTATGTGCCTATTCCTTCCCTGGAAGGCAGCTAGCTTTAGACAAAAATATCTGCAAACTAGCAATTACTGTGGATTCAGAAGGTTTTAAGGTGACACTGACATGATGGAAGATCTATTTTTATGTGTGTGAAGTATATTTCAAGTTCAGAGAGAGGGACACAGAGAGAAAGAGAGCACATGCATGCTGTAATCAAGCTCATGTGCAGGACAAGATGCTGCTCAGCATTTGTAAATATCACCACATAAAACACATTCCCTTTCCTTGTTCTTCTGCACAATTAAATTTTGGTCAAGCAATGCTAAAAACCTTTTTGAGTAGGTCAATAGTATATTAAGCATCACCCAGCTTAGAATTTCAAACTATTATTGAGCTGAGTTCAAGTTTATAAACAGTATATGAGATTCTTTTTCAGCCACTCCAGCATATCAAAAAGCTTTAGTTACGTTAATGAGACCTATTTTTCCTAAGAAAATTATTCACTTATCTCACATATTTCCCTACGTGTGGCATCCAATGCAACACAAGTGCAACCCACTCACTACGCTCCAAAATTTGCCAGAGAAAACCCCACTTAGGGTTTCAGCAGCTAGATCTTACACACACATGAAACTGCACGTCAAAACTCACAAGAGGATGAAATCTGATCCTCTTATTGTGAGTTACAAGCTCTAGTCTAAAAAGCTGTAAACTCCTACTTCAGCTGCAGGCCATAGAGCACTCAGAAACCATTCTTGATAAGAAAGTAGGGTGCACATCCCCAGAACATAACTGAGAATTTATTTAATCAGTATTTCCCTGCTTTTTGCTTCCTGCAGAGCCGTAAGAGGAGTTACGCTGTTTCCATAGAGAGAGTCATTAGCAGAAAAACTAGCATCCAAGTTTTCTGCAGTTTTCCTCAGCAGCAACCACATAATAGCAAAACTTGAGGAAAAGTAATGATGTTCTCAAGACTCTAATCTATGTATAATATTTCAGTTAGACAGTAAGTCCACCATCTGAAGCTTTAAAATGTATTCAGCTGTTGATTTTAGAGCTGCATAAGAGGAAGCTCTAAAATGAAAATTTCAACGCACAATTGTTTCTTCTCCTGTTTGTACTGCAATGTTTCACATTTCTGTTTTCTCTTGAAAACTATGTCCCAGTGTAGAAAGCCCATGCTAATCTACACACAAGGAAGGACTCATGTACTGATGGGGAAAATATATAGAGAAAAGAAGCATTATGCCTTCTTCCTGTGGATTAAAGTTTTCAACAGTCATTACATTGCTTAGTCGAGTAGACAGTGCTAGCCTAAAAGCAGTATTAGTACTTACTTTAGGATGAGATTTTCCACATTTAACCAGTTTCAAGACTCCATTCAGAGCAAGTATTTAGCAGGAGGTCTGGCTCTGCACCTCAGGAGCAGCACTGATGCCACTGCCCTGCTCGAGGAACAAGGCTGGTTTCCTGACACAGCACCCTGCATGGCAGTGCCATCTCAGGTACCACAGCACGCTCCTCTCCCCTGCCATGCAAACACACCCTTCTCAACATCATGACCAGGGAGAAAGAGGAGGCCTCTATTCTGGAAACAGAGCATCCCACTTAGTGCTAGCCAGGAAAATCTGTCTGGAGCCAAAATAATTTCTAATGATGTCTGAGGTTCTTTTAAGTTTGAGGCCTATAGTCTTTTAAGATGGCAAAAATCAAGACTTCCTGGAGACTAAGGATGCACTTTCTAAATGTTTTTGCTTTTTCAACAGGTAACTGCTACTGGTAAAGATTACCTTTAAAAGGGAACATGGATTTAATAAACTCTACTGAACAAAACAGTACATCAGAAGAACTATTCAAATGGGTGACATCTAAGATTCTCATTTCCATTACCCTGTCTGTGCTTGCACTAATGACAACGGCTATCAATTCTCTCGTGATGACTGCAATAATTGTGACAAGAAAGCTCCACCACCCCGCCAACTATCTAATCTGCTCTCTTGCAGTGACTGATTTCCTTGTGGCAGTCCTAGTGATGCCCTTCAGCATTGTCTATATTGTAAAGGAGACTTGGATCATGGGGCAAGTGGTGTGTGACATTTGGCTGAGCGTGGACATTACATGTTGCACATGTTCCATCTTGCATCTATCTGCCATTGCTTTGGACCGGTACAGAGCAATCACAGATGCTGTGGAATATGCACGGAAAAGGACACCTAAGCATGCTGGCATCATGATTGCAGTGGTATGGATCATATCCATTTTTATCTCCATGCCACCTTTGTTTTGGCGGCACCAGACAACCAGCAGGGATGATGAATGCATCATCAAACACGACCACATTGTTTTCACCATTTACTCAACTTTTGGCGCCTTCTACATCCCCCTGGCCTTGATTCTGATCCTTTATTATAAGATATACAAGGCAGCAAAGACATTTCACAGAAGAAGTGTCAGCCGGATCATAAGGGAGGAGGTAAATGGACAAGTCCTTTTGGACACAGGCGAAAGAAGCACCAAATCAGCTTCAATGCCCAGCACAGCAGAGAAGACATCAGATCCCCTGGTGAACTGTGATAAAATCAATACCACCCTACGAAGCCCCAGGTCTGAATCTAAGCATGAGAAGTCCTGGAAAAAGCAGAGAATTTCTAGCACAAGAGAGCGAAAGGCAGCAACTACGCTGGGTCTGATCTTGGGGGCATTTGTGATCTGCTGGCTCCCTTTTTTTGTAAAAGAAGTAGTTGTTAATACCTGTGAAAGATGTCACATCTCAGAAGACATGTCTAATTTCCTAGCATGGCTGGGATATATAAATTCCCTTATTAACCCCCTAATCTACACAATCTTTAATGAAGATTTCAAGAAAGCCTTCCAGAAGCTTGTGCGGTGTAGACAATACCTTTAAGAGCTTTTGTTCATATAAGGAGAACATACTCATTGTTTTTTAACCTGTATAAAATTATATAACTGAGATGACTTTTGTTGTGTTTAAGGAAAAGCACCGAGACTCTGCATTTACATTACGACTTTTTTGTATCAGTAGTACCGAGAGCATAAACTGCTCAAGTTTTAAAGAGATGGATCATCTGGGATCAGTTTTGGTCTGGAAAAAGAGGGTAGCATATTGTAGCTCTGATCCAGTTGGGATTTGCACAGCTGCCTAGCCTGAAGCATAAGGTATTACCTTAAATATGAAGGAAATATGTAGACAAAATTTTAAAAAAAAGTAACCCTCAGTCATCAATGAAATTTTAAGTAAAACACCACACAGGTTTTAAACCCTAATAGCAAATAAGAAGATAGAAAATACACCTTGGAATTAAGGCATGATTTTATTAGTTTGGCACAGGCCTGCAGCATAGAGCCAAGCCATTCCCAGCGAAGGGCAGTAGCTTTAAACATATCTAGCATCATCCTATGTTGATTAGCTGAGTGCAGCTGCAGCCCTGCCTTTCCTGTAGATGAAGGACTTCCCTGTGTTATGCCCTCGCAGCACCTCAGCAGCAGGCAAGGTGCTTTCATGGGTTACCAGTTTCATAGCAAGCCAATGTTGTGAGCCCTCTGCCATTGTGCACCCACAACAGACATGAACATATCCCCATGGGAAACAGGCAGACACCTGGGGCACCTCTGGTGAGCTGGGTACACATAGTGCCTGGTGCTCTGAGACACCACTTCAGGAGGGACTAGGGAGGGTGAGATCATAAAAAGCAGCTGGTCCTCCTTATGGGGACGTTAGAAGGGAGAGAAGCATGAGATACTCCTTTCTTCATGTCCTCATCCCTACCTCACACACCTGGCCAGCCATGGCCCCTGTGACTTTCCACCAAACGCAGCCACACAGTTTGTGTCAGGGCCCCCACACTATTGCTGGTGGTGTGTGGCTTAGTGAGGTTTGGCTGAGGGCCACCTAATGACAGGTTGACAGCTCTGGCTCAGCCAGTTCCACAATCCCAGAAGACCAATGTCCCCTACGTCTTTTCTCACCTGCTTCAAGAGGGCGTGCACTCTCTTTCCAAGCATATGAGAAAGCAGAGACCAACCACAGCACTGGCAGCGTGGGTCTCTGGAAAAGGCTGTGCAGCAGCTTCTCCAGTAAGGACGGGGGGAGTGACCTCAGTATGCAGTGCAAACCTGGGCAGGGGATCCTGTGGGATGCTCACTGGCTGTCACCTTTAAACCCCTCATTCACCTAGAGCATCTAGTCCACGTCCCCAGTTCCAGCAGAGCCAAAAGGACCTTGTAGGCACTCCAGCCAGCCCTAGCCAGCTGGTTCAGTCAAAGATAATCATAATGCACAAATCCCTTTGTGGGCTGCCTTCTAAGGCCTCAGAGCTGGCATCTTGTCCAGTCTTGATTTACATGCTCTAGATGCCAAGGCACAGTGCTAATGAATGCAAGAACAGCCCTTGCCCCAAAACCAGCAGTGCAAGTTTGCCGACAGCTAAGGGTACTAACAGAGCAGTGAGCATTTACTCCTGACTGCAGATGAGTCGCTAAGAGCCACATCAGAACCCAGGGATGGGGTTTGCACTTTTCTGGACAAAGATTCAGGCTGTGTCTCTAGGACTCCGGCTTTGAATTCATTGCCAGCCATTTGATGCTGCCTAGCAGGAACAGGGACTTGAGGGTCCTTACAGGAATTACAAACCCCCACTGTCAGCAGCAGCAGTCCCCTGCAAAGGCGCTCTGGTTTGGCACGTGGGCCACCACAAAGGGCCACCACAAAGAAGCTGAGACATGAGAGCACTATGCACACCCTTAGTTTGGGAAAGGTATCACTAGTCTTTGCAGTTGTTCTTCCAAGAGACTTGCAGTGGTTTGCATTAGACAAGAAAACCCAGAAAGAAGCCATCACTGTTGTTTCTCTCTCCCCCTCTCACTTTCCTGTATTACAGATTCTGGAGTTTAGTATTTTTTGTATTTTGCCCACTAGCTACCACCTGACACAACAGCTGTCAGAGGTGTTTCTTGCAAGATGGTAAGGTTTGAAACCTGAGATACTGAACTAAATTTTTTTTCATCACTTGCAATTTACTGTATTCTGCTTTCAGATCAAGGTCCAAATGAGATGATATTCAGAAGTACTAGAAACGGTGCATTTGCTTTCCTGTTGATTTTAACCCAGCCAGGAATCAAATGGAAAGTTCACTTGTCATGCCGCGTAGCTCTAGCGCAGCAGTAGCACAGCTAAATTATGAAGATCCTAGGATGCGACAGAATGGAATTTGGCTCATGCTCAGTGCAAGCTAGTGCACTTTACTACCATTGCAGTCAGAGCACAGCCTCTGCAGCCCCTGTGACCTCGGCAATGGCTGCATTATGCTGAAAGAAAAAACTGCTTTAAACATCAGCTGTGCTCTACTGTCTCCAGAAAGAGCCATGGAATTCAGCTTTCTAAAAGGATTAGCAGATTAGCAGAAGGCAGCAAAGAAAATCCCACTGAAACATTTAAGATTGAAGAACTCCGTTTCCCACGTTTCCTGAGTACTGAGTCATAACATTGGATACCTAGGGGCAGGACTTCTTCTCCTCCTGCTTCTCCCTTTATGACTGCTGGAGGGTAGAGTATATCATTTATCCTCTTAGACATGAGAAGTTTGACAATATCTTGTGAAATCAAATTGGAGGAAAAAATAGGGGTTGCTTTTGGGGAGAAAAGATACTTAAAATACTCATATTTAAATAATAATGCATAAAGCTCAAAGAACAGAATGAAATGTAGATAAACAGAAAATAGCTGTCATTTATGCACTGTTAACAGTATTATACTCTGAATCTAATGAAGCTGCTAAACATCTATCAAGATGCAGGGTGGTTTCTTTTGTATCATTTTCACTGAGCTGTATCTGCTCACCCTTCAACGCCCCAGTGGTGGAAGATGCAACTACAAGAAATCTAAGCAAACGAGTGGGTAGTTACCCTATTAAATGCACTTGTGGACCATCATTTCTTGTGTCTGACTGCAAGATCACTCATTCTCTGACAGAATCCATTGTGCTGAAGACTTTATCTCACAACCCCATACAGTATCATTTCTTCTCCAGCATCTATTTGTGCATGTGATGTGTTAAGAAAAAACATGAGTTCCTCTTTCAAAATGCATAAAGGTTAAGATACCTGTGGGATGCAGCTCTCCCCTCCCCATGAAGTACACATGCATCTACTGGAGCTTAGCACTGGATTCAAGGAGCAAGAGAGAGCAAGATTTTATGCACTGGAGCTAAGATTTTTCGCAAGAAGCTCTGTGCCCTGTGAGAGTTCAGCCTCAGCAAACAGAAAAAAATATCTCTGATTTCCTATCTCTATCAGAAGACTCTGTGTGTGTATTGCAGGGAAAGGGTTTACTTCTCTAGGGTTTGCATAAAGCTTCCTGGATCCCTATCCCTGCTGCAGTTGCCCTCCCTGTTGCCGTTTGCTGCCCACCCATCTGCCCATCAGTTTAGATGTCTTCTAACACCCAGAGAACTGGATTTGGAGCAGCTGACCTGCTCCCACTTCAGCTTTCACAGCGAACGATTCCTGAAGCAGTTGTGAACACTATATCCAGTTCAGGTGGATGGTTTTTGCTAACAGCAAGCAGTTAAATACTCCTCATTATCCTGTACTCATTTCTTTGCCTTTCCTCCCTGCCAGATGCTTTATTGGTGTCCTTTCCTCTTGAGGATAGCATATCCCCACAAAGGGCTGGGGTATACAAATATACTTTTGTTTTAGTGATGCAGTCACACTTGTTAACGCATGACTGTACCACCCAGAAACACCCACATCATCCAAATGCGCTTTTGGCAGTCACTGTCTTCAGCTGGTGGCTAATTGTTCGTGGTGCTAGGGAGGTACATGGAAATAACTATGTGCCAAATTATGTTCTCCAGTAGTTACAAACTCAGCACATTATTTCTAGGCAAGTACACATTACTATTTGCCCTT